TGAGTTTAACCTCTGATGGATCCTCTTCCAATTCCTCCTCTTAAATCTAATCCATAATTTGGTGAATATTTTATTTAAAAGGTAAGATAATAAGCATTTTCCCTTTTACAGATCATACAGCCTTGGTGTGAATTCCTAAACTCTGCAGGGTGGCATGAAAGAAGATATAGACAATACATAAATGAGTGAGCATGGCTGAGTTCCAATGAAACTTTACTGACCAAAACTTACAGAGGATGTTGGCCTGTGGACCCCACTTTGCCGACCTCCGATTTTAACCATTCTTACATCTGGACTTAGGCCTATCTGGAGCAAGGATGGGTCTAGTGTGGGCAGGCCTGGCATGTCCTTATTCACATGGGAAAGTCTAGGAGCCTTCCTAGTCCAAGCTCTCAGTAAGAAAAAGTATAAAGGGAAACTGGAAGAGATGTCAACTTTTCTTACCTTCTGCCTAAAATGTCTTCGAAATTTAGTTTTCTCTCAGTCTCAGAACTTTTACTGCCATGTATTGGAGCTCATTTCTGAGACTGCAGTGAAAGCATAGTCTAACTCAATCCAATAGATGACCTAGTTAACCTCACAAGTTAACAATCCTTAAAATCTAACTTGTGAAAGTCACAATGTGGTGAAATTGTCTTATTTATTCTCTCTCTTAGCTTGGGTTTACCTTAAAGCAATGAACTTGAATATAAGTAGTTTACTTAGGATTAAAAAAAGATAATCACTGTAAATAAATTCTGAGATCATGCCATTATATTTTTTCCTGCAGAGAGCCACAGTATTCTAACAAATAAAAAGGCAATTTCATTACATTGAGAAAGAACCAATCCTTACAATTTACTCCCAGACCTACATACCACTCTCCACTTAGTTGTTTAACCAGTTTATCATCTACCTTCATTCTTGCAAGACTTAACCACCTAACTTACTTTTCCTCTTTCCTAAGACCTTCTTTCACTTTGGAAAGTTTCAACACAAAATATCCTGGTGCCTCATTTCTCTGACATCCTCACCTTCCCAAGAGCAGAGACTTCTCATGGCCACCTCCTACACTTACCAACTCTAATCATATGGCACTAAGAGCCACAGGTTCAAGCAATACTCCAACCCCAGCCATAAGTTCTTTCCACTTGCTCAGATGATAGGGGCTGCCAAGAGCCTGAAAGAGCCCCAGGGCAGGAATTCCTTCCAGATAATTTTCAGAGCCTGCGGAACTCCTTCTGATGCATAGATTCACTTTTTCTCCTAAATACCTTTGGATATTTTAAAGAGGAAAGGCTGAAAACACAGAGAAGAAAACACTTTCTCTTAACTTTTATTTTTATTTGATAGTTTTGGGGTGGAAGGGAAATCCAGTTGACTTTCCTTCAGGATCACCTGTCTCCTTGGGCAGAGGGTAAAAGCTAAGAGAAAAGGCCTTGAAGGAAAAGACTCTCTCCCAGGAAAAGGCTCTGGTCTTAGTCCTAGTCCCCAAGGGGACACCTCCTCTACCTACCTAGGCAAATGCAAACATTTACTAAACAACCAGAGAGCACAGATAGCCAGCAGGGGTCTGACTAAAGTGGGCATATTTAAGCTGACACAAGATAGTAGTTTACATAGATATCAGCTGCATGGTAAAGAAATCTGTATCTGTTTATATGCATACTTATTTAGAATTAGAAGTTCAATTTAAGCACTGTTGTCCAGATGGTAAAATACTGGTAAAGTACTTAACTGTCAGATTATCTGCTGCATTAATATCTTTTATGGTAATAAGTCTTTTTACTTCTTCTAAATAGCCTTGAACAGGTTTTAAGAGTTCTACTTTAAGATGTCTGTGCAGTTTTTAAAATTCTTTTTTGTAATAAAATTTACATCCAAATGTGAAGTTAAAGATTAATGTATTCAAATGTGCATCTAAGAAATTTGTATAACTTAGAAGTAATCAAAATTTTCCTTGTGCCATTTGTTTCAGTTTCAGAAGACTAGCCTTGCTAAAAATTTGAAGTGTTTTAGCATTTGTGGAAAATGAAATACCTTAAGTCTTATTCCCATCTGTTTAATGCATTAAATTCTTGAGTGCCACATAAGAAGTATTTGACTTCTTAAACTCAGCTTTTATAAAAAACAAAAAGCACAAGTATGTTAAGTGTATAATACTAGTAATAATGAAATGAAAATAGCCTTTTACATGCTTCTACATACCAATTTTTCTCATTTTTGTTTCTCAAACCTTTTTTTGTTATGCTTGTTTATTTGAATTGAAAGCACAGATCCTGTGAATCTCTTACCTCATTCCCTGGATAATGAGCAACTACCCAAGCTGTTTGTAAGCCTGGTTTAGGCTTATTTTAATAAACAGTAAAATTTTCTTTTCACCTACCTGCCTTCATATCTCCTGTTATTAACATATGGCTTTCCAAACTCTTCCTTTATAACATCACTGAAGAACTATTTCAGAACTGACATAAGAATTTATTTGCCCTTACAGAGCATTCATAGCACAGTATGATAGCCCAGAGTGTTTGGAAGCAGACTAAGCAAGGCCACACATTTGTGAGCCTTCACATTTCCCACCACACCAGCTATGTGACATCAGGATTGAGAATACCTGTGTTCAAATTTCATTTCACTTACACATAAGTGGTGTTGTTGTGGTTCTATGTTTGATTTGACTATCTTCATCAAGAAAAGGAAAATAACATCTAACTCTCAGGATTTTTCTAAGGACTGAGATCCACAATGTTTATCACAGTGTCAGACACCTAGTAAACTCTAAATGTTAGCTATGGTTGAATATTCATAATTTTGTGTATATTAATGTGTTATATAAAAGTGAGATAAGCTGTTTCCTCCTGACTATTTTTAACAAGTTTATATCAATTTATATTAAAAGTATGAATAATCCCATTTCTCGGCTTCTGTACAAACACTGAGTAGTGTTACCTCATGTAAATGCTGACAATCTGAGGTCTTAATTTTCATGAGGATTCATGAGATAATTTTATGTTAATTGACCCTTTATCAGCAATTATCAATTGCTGTTCCCATTTGCCTATCTTCTAAGAATATTCTTTACTTATATTTTAAGATGCATCATATATAAGGAATAGAATTTGTCATTTGTTAAAATACTTTTTCTGGTTTTTCTTATGTCTCTAATTTTGCTTGTTGTGTTTGGGGTATATGGAATCTTCAAATATTCAAGTAATCAAATGAAAGATGTACTCATATGTTTGCCTAATATTAAGTAATTTTGTTTTTTAACATATTTAATGAATCTAGAATTTTTATATAATAAAATGTTCCTTTGTAATCTTCAAATTATTAGCCATTTTCCTGATTACCATTTATTTATCTCTTCTCCCACTGACATAATACTCTATTTTCTCCAAATACTGTAAGGTTTTACATATTTTACTAAGTTATAGAATCCATATTCTACTATTCTTTTTCTTCCTCATTATAACTGTTTTGATTTTTTTTTGTTTTTTTCTTTTTTTAGTTGTCAATGGACACTATATCTTTATTTTTTATTTTTATGTGGTGCTGAGTATCAAACCCAGTGCCTCACACAGGCGAGGCAAACACTTTGCCACTGAGCCACAATCCCAGCTCCTTAACTGTTTTTGATTTTATAGCTTGGTGTGAGGGGCAGAATTCTGAGGTATCCAAGAAAAAAAATCTAGCAGCTGATACACACACATCTTCTCCCAAGTACCTTCAGAAGTCTAGAAGCCCCCTTTATCTCTAGGAATACATTCCAAGACCCCAGGAGAAGCTTAAGACCATAGATAGTACAGAACCCTATATATACTATGGGGTTTTCTATACATACATACCTTTGATAAAGTATAATTTATAAATTAGGCCCAATAAGAGAGTAACAACAGTAACTAACAATAAAGTAGAACAATTTTAACAACATACTGTACTAAAAAGTAGGTAAATGTGGTCTCCCTCTCAAAATATCTTGTTATACTATACTGTATTTAGTGTAAGTAACTGAAAACTTTGAAAGAAGAAACACAGAAAGCTAAACCTGAGGTAAGGGGCGGGGGGCAGTAATCCTTCAATGTTTTCACCACCTCCTTAGTCTTTACAGTGGGATTTAAAATGTAAAAGCTCCTAGACTTTACAGTGCCATACGGAAGGTTGGATTCTGGCCCAGACTCTAGACAGCAAGTTTGACTTGCTAAATAGCAAATACTTTAATTTGTAGGTTAATTTGCCTTTTGGTGCTTATATCATCACTATAGGTATAAAAGGCAGTGAGCCCACAGCTCTGTGCTCCTCCAGCCTGGAATGCACTTTACTCCATCACTAAGACACAGAACCTCAACTGTGCCTCTGCAAGATACACATGGGGAGGAGGCCATGTGAAACCATGTGCACCCATCTGCAACTTTATCTCATGTATATCCTGTTCATGATTTAGTCACTCACTGCCTTGAGAGGATTTCAAAATGAAAGCAATCTGGAACACTGACCTCATTGTCATTTTTGATCATCTCTGAACCCAAATCATATTTTTCATTCTGAACAAGCTTAATCCTGTTCTGAGTTCAGCTAACTCACCCTGACATCAATCCCCTCCTAACTACTTTTAATTCAACCCTCTTCCTACCTCATTTTCAACCACTTGTCTCCTCCTTCGTGCATTGCATAATCTTAACTCTGGACATAGCACTTATTTGTTCAAAGTTACTTCTTGATTGCTTCTCTTGTCTTTCTTATTAATAACTAGCACTTGGCCCAGGATGATCCCTGATGTCTTCTCCCATGAAATCCTTACCATCCAACTCCTTCTAACTCAGGAAGAATAGAAAGGGTCAACTTGCTTCCAAGCACAACTAGACCATTGATTCATCACTCTTTCTCCACTGTCCTTCACTTAAAGTTCTTACCATTCTATGGGTTTAAAGAGCTAAGACATAGATGTGTTTCAGAACGTGACTGATCAGGATATAAATGTACAATAAATTTATTACAAGCAAGAACAAAAATAGTAACCGAGATAAAATTGAAAAACAAGGGGTTTATTTTTGGCAGCAAACTTGTAAAATATATTGTAACTTCACCAACAAATAACATTTTTAAACATGTGAAGTTTATATAGTAATCTGCATAAAAAGTATTGTTTGTAACTATCTTCAGTGGCAATTTTCAGTTGAGTATGTTATTAATTTATAAAATGAATGTAGAAATAAGTAAAATACTGTCCTCAATTTTCCTAACAATGTACTATGGTTTATAAACTTTAAAGAGGAGGCAAAAATCCTTTGAAAGCACTATAAATTTCAAATTGTTTCACTTAAAACAGATTTGTAATATATCATTAATATAATTAGTAGTAAAAACATACAATATTCCATAATTCTTTTATAAAGTGCTATGAAACTTTAAGTTTTCTAACTAAATTCATAACAAAAATGCCATCTTTAATTAAATTTTAGCTAATATGTTTGAAACCCTAAGTTTTAAAAAAAGGAACTATGTGAAATATTTAATACCAAAAAATAGCTGTGGAACTTGCACTACAATTTAACATACAATTACTTAAAATATGGATTGTAAGTTCTTCTAATTTTCATTGAAACCGATTTAATCTTGACAGGTAAGTTGTTTTTGGTCCATGTACCCCACTGAATTCCAGATGCAAGTAATTTTCCAGGGAAGTGATGAATGCCATTTAAATTTGCTAGACCACACTGGTTGAACCACCAGCCAGTGTTATTTTTGAGGTGGCTGCAGCTCTTCACAGACTGACCATTGACCAGGCATGCAGGACGGCACCCATCATTATCAACATCTGACGTGCTGAAAGGCATTGCATTTTGATTATCTTCTTTTCTGAGGCCCCGGAATGCATCACCTGAGTAAAACAGATTTTTTTAAGTGACTGAATTTAGAGACAATTTCTATTATTAACCAACCTACTATGCAAAAGCATGGCATCTAGAAATAGAGTTTAATTTATATTTCTACTGTTTAGCATGCTTAAAATCTCTCACAAATCTGGTAATAAATTCCTCAACATGACATGCATCTTTAAACGGATATTAGATATGAAAGTCAGAAATCAAAATAGAAGTTTGGCTGTGTAGACAAAATCAAATAATTTAGGCCAGAAATGATGGTGTATAGGCCATCATACTAATATGGCAATTGGTAAATAAAGAGAAGAAAATAGCTTACACACTGTAGGTTTTTATACCTACAACTTGCCTCACTTTAAATAGTTATGAATAGATTAAGGGGAAATTTTTACTTAGATTTATAATTACAAAAGTTGTTTGATGCTATTTAGGGATCATCAAGTTTATATAGAATTCCTAATACCCTCAAGAAAAATTTAGCTATACTCCTGAGGTTATATTTATCTTCATAGATGGTTGTTTGCATAGCCTGATATCCACAATATCCCTTCAAAGATTAAGAATCTTGACCAAGACAACCCAATTTAAGTCGCAGAAGCAGGAATTATAGTTTGCTTCCTAAAGTTTCATGAAATTAACATATTCTTAGTAAATCTATAATACCTACATTTCCCTAAACATAAATTTTGATTAAAAAGCTTTGAAACACTATAAAAAAAGCTATGTACATGTGTAGAGAAACCAAGGCCTACATTTGTTTCATTATATTTCTGAATGGTTGGCATCTTTCAAGATAATCTTTCAAGGTGCTTTAAGAACTTCATTAATGGTATGGCCTATCCTAAATTCCAGAGTCTGATGATTATTAAAGTCTCTGGCTCCTCACTTGATGGAAAACAAAATACACACATTGCAGGTATTTTTTTTCCAGAGAGAATATAATTTTCAACATGAACACCATGCAATACCTTTCAAAAGTTCATAAGAGAGAAATACCATCTATGGAGCATTGCCTAAATTTTGTGATCACTTCATGAATACTCTCCCTGAGCAAAGTGAAACCATCAGAAGAATCACACGTCATATGGGCACCGCAATGGATTATATTTAGCAACATATTTAAAAATATATATATGCATGTCTATTTCTTGAGAAATAGTTCATTAAATGTATTCACCCCATATCCTGAGAAAGTGTAATTAGAGAACATGATACTGTTATCTCTAAGAACCTAGAGAAATTTATCTCAAGTTTCATCATCAGGAATATTTGGATTTCTTATGGAACATTTGTGTTTCTCAAATGGTCAAGTTTATATTCTATTTTTGCTCTGAGCTCAAAGTCAAATTAGTGGCCCATTTCTACCACATACCTAATTACAATTAAGCCCCTAGTTTTACTCATGTTTCTATTTTTACATTCTACTGACACCTTTTTCTTTCACAGTTGTGATTATATTATGTTATCAATAGCTAAAAATTATTTAACAACCTTGTTGGGAAAATGTAGAATAAAGGATGGCAGGGTACTGTAATGAAAAAAAAATTGCCATTTTAAATTTTATCCTCTAACTAGATCATAATTATCTTGTAGAGAACCCCCACATAAACTTCCCAGCATAGCATATTCCATATTTAGATAGTTCTTTACACTTTTAGAGATGAAGCTTTGAAAACTGTATGTTGTAACTCTTTAAAATTTTCCTTATATATCCAGATTTGAATTTCAGACTTTCACCCAATATCCCAAGACTAAACCCCCTCAGATGTCATAGATTCCATCCATACCAGACAACTCTCTGGGCCCTGTAACTTTCCTCCCTTTATGCCTTGACTTGAGCTGTTCCATTTGCCAACATTCACTTGCCAAAAACCTATCCATTGCTCTAAGACCAGGTCCATGGTTTTCAACTGTAAGTATGCCAACATATCCATCTGCCCAAAAGTCACTGAATCAGACTGTGAAAGAGTAATGTACTTTCAAAAAACTTCCCAGCTTTTAACATGAACCCCTTGTTGAAAAATACTCTTCCATGAAAATTTTCTGGTGCAACCAACTGAAATCATTCTCACCCTCCCTGTAGCCCCCAGAGCTCTATTAGTAATCTGTGTTTTCATTGTTATCTTCTCCTCTATACTGTGATCAGTTAAAGAGCTGGAATCATATAATTTTCATTTTTTTATTTCTAACACTGAATATACATAATGAACAAGTGGGTGGGGCATTTACTTTAGTATTTCTTGACTAAAATGTCTTTAAAATTTCAATACCAAAACATGGATTTATCATCAAGTATTTTGAAGTTCTAGAAAATTTAATTTATTTGGAAATGAGTAGATGCATCCAGATAGGGTAAAAAGAACAATAAGTTCTTGTTTCTATCAGCTTGGATTATTGCCCTGGCTCAGGTGTGATGAGCTGGAACTCTTAGGCAAATTACTTAATGTTTTAGGTTTCTTTTCTGGTAAAGTGAAAAGAATACAGACCAGCTTTAACATTCTCTGACTTCTAAATGTCAGCCTCTGTGAATACAAAAACAGGAATAATGCCTTCCTAGACTACCCTCACAGGATCTCTATCCAAAAAGTCAACTGGGATTACATATGGTAAATGTTTTAAAGAATTTTATTTAGTATTTTAAAATCATGAGGTGATACAATGTTCATAACAGAGTTTCAAAACTCCAAACTTGGCCAGCTTTCTCATTTCTAATCTATTATGAGTAATGTAGCATGTACCAAGAGACATGCATTGTTTTTATCTTTACCTATATACTAAGTCTGTGATATTTCCATCTTCTGGAAAATTTTAGGAATAAGAAACTTACCTGCATTTCCTGAATACCGTCCTAAGTGTATTTTAAAAAATCTTGTTTCATCCTCTAGCCAAAAAGTATCATATGATGCATAAGCAAACATGTCATCTTCAGATTCCAAAGCCACATACAGCATAAAACTGGTATTTTTCTGATTTACTATATAAAAAATCTTTTTTAGTCCTAGCCAAAATTCTCCTGTAAAGAAAAAAATCACTTTGTTTTATTATATTTTAACACAAATTAGAACAATCCTTCCTTATTGAATGTTGGGTGTTATTTAGTGTGTCATTAACTCTGAGATGACTCACACAAATAATTACAGATACTATATGGCCTAGCTCAAATAATTAGTGTTTATCTAATTTACAAAAAAAAAATTAAAAAGAAAAAGTTTTCCTACTGATGTTTCACCAAACTGGGGAAAATAAAACTGGTTCATTTTATCTCTCCATATTAAAATCAAAATTTCACTTAAAAACTAAATACAAAGTACAGTTTTTCCATGATATGTCAACAGAAACCTTGTTGAAATATTATGGCAGGTTACAAAATGATGTATACCAATAAAAGTCAGAGGTTTAACTTCCAAATTGGCTGCTCCTAAAGAAATATTTCATGACAATGATCATTTGAAGTTATATTTTCTTTCTCAGAATGTACTTTCTAAACAAATAGTTGTTATAATACAGTGTCAATTACTTATGACTGGAAGTACAATCTAGCAACACTGAAGTATCCCAGGTATAGGGTCAATATTTCCAAGACAATTGTAGATCCAGATGACTCATCAAATTCCCTGATTCAGGCAATGTGCTTCTGCATGCATTTCTAGCTAATGATTTTCTACCTCCCTCTACCCACCATGATGTAGCCTACATGTGGACACCCCAACATATGTCCTTCTACTTGAATTATGAAATTCTCCAAAAACTTAAGAATGTAGTCAAAACAAACTTCAAAGAGTTAAAGCATAATGTGACAGCATAAAACTCTTGAAACTGTAACTAAGATACTAAGTACTCCTCTAAGGCTTACAGAGGTATTTTAGCTAACATCCAGTTAGAATTGAAAAGTATCCAGAATAAATATGGTAAGAAAGTGAGCACTATCAATTGGGTCCCTACAGGGTCTGTTTAGTCGCGTACAGTTATAACCCTTCAACTTAAGCATCTCTGTCATCTTTCCCCTTTGCTCCAACCTCATATTTAAGACTGAACTGTACATTTTCCTTAATCCCCAATTTATTTTTAAAAATGAATCAGGTACAAGGCAGTCTTAGTTTGCATGAAAATACCTGCATGAAGACCTTATTAGTCAAAACTCACATCACCTCCCTATAGAAATAAGCAAGAAGTAAAGAAAAAGATAATAGGAAGTCTATATGTCAATCTATGACTACTTAATTCAGGAGGAAGCACTCAATGGGAGATTAGAAATAACGCTGAAAAAATACAAGTATTTAACTGCATGCAATTATTTAACTGCATGGCAATTATCTATAAGCCAAATGCCTTCTAAAATTATTAGCATGCAGGACCAACACTACCACTTACTGAATCTTTAGATGATATTCTTATGGGAGGATAAACATTTTACATTATAATAACAACCATTAAAGTAACTTAAAAATTAACAAAACCGCCTATGGAAGTTCCAACTAATATAAATGGTTCAAAAATACTGGTGTTTCTGTTTACTAGCAAAACTGATGCTGCCATGTGGCAATAATGTAAACAGATTTTAAAATTCAACAGGGTTTTATAATTTTTAAATTTTGAGCAAAGGTAATGCTTATTAATATTTTATAAAACATTGTATTCAATTCAAATCATCTGAATTTGATCATACCTTAATTCTTTGTTTAATTTGCTTGTGTGGACACAGCATATCAAAACTTTTAAGATATATGGCAATCTTGCCCATTTACATTTTCTTAGTACAGAAGACAAGAACTCTACTGGAAACATAATAGATACTTAATAAATATCCAGCTTAGAGTTTTTAATAAACTCACATTTCAACAATAACTAAATATAAATATTTCTAGACCTCAACTGTTAGAGTCTGTAAACAAGTCAGGATGGCGCCTGGCATTTTGCCAGAGAAATGTTAGAGTCTGTAAACAAGTCTGGATGGTGCCTGGCAAAATGCCAGAGGGAGTGGTTTGTGAAGTAACACCAGCGAGCCATTAAGTGTGGAGATTTCTTATTGGTTGACTGATGTATCTAGTTTATGCTAATTAAGATAAGCTGAGTAAAATGTATAAATACCTCTGTTGTCCTACAATAAACGGCTTCCACTCCTGCTGTATCAATCTACACAAGTTCTTTGTCACCCCCCACCCCCCCCCCCCGGCTATTTTGCCCAGCCAGCCGGGCTGCGGCACTCAACTGAAGAACATTTTATCCATGAAGATAGGGTATTTGATTCATATTTTTATAATCATATATATTTGCTATTTTTACGAATACAGATATAGTCTTTCGAAATAATATCAAAAGATAGAATACAAATACATAAAAATTGACCTAAAAGATCACCAAATCCATCCAGATAATCACACCATAACCTCTGGAAATCAATTGTCCCATCAATCCTCTTCTGTATCACGGTCCATCCACCTCCTCTATAATCCATGTCACACATTACCTAAAACAGGCCAAGAAAATACCAAAATAATACATCATTATTTTCATTATGTGATAATATAAAACTCATGCTTCATCAGTAGGCCTAAACAAAAAGATGATACTTTCATTAAACATTGTGAATGCAATTGTATGCCATTAACATATTCAGATTTCTTACATGCCTAGAAATAATACTGTTTATTATAAAAACCAACTTATAATTAACCAAATTATAGTCCCCTTATCAGTCACCTTTTAAAATATATAATTGTGGCATTTTAAGATTATCCTATTATGCCTCAACTCTATAAATATCTTCCAGTTTAGTAATAACAATTCTGTTCTGATGTGATAGGAATATATTAATTTCAAACTAACTCTGTCTTTGAATTAAAACACTAACCTTCTTTTTTTACTGTGTTAAAAATGCCTTTATGCCTGCCCTTGATTGTTCTTTCCCACAAGCTGTTCAGCCTGGCATTTTCAGACACAAAGGCAGGATCTGTGCCTTCCCAGCAGGCGCTTAGGGACACATGTGTTGATGGTATGTAAAATGCCCCTAAGAGAGCACCTGCAGGGGACTTGTCGAAGCGTCAGGGGAAGAGAACAGAGCAACCCTCTCCAAAAGAAACTTCCCACCCAGAGACAGAGAAAGCAGTGTGGAGGAAGTTAGGGAACCAACACTTCCCCACATAAGAGGGAATTATGCATCCCACTCTTGACAAAATTAGAAGCCTTCCTTGCCACGGCTGTTCAGATCCATGTTTGAATCTGTAGGCAAAGTAATTTAAGTAATTTTAAAATTATTTCCCACCTAATTCCCAGTTTTTGACATCTTGTCAATAGATTACAAAAGAAATAATGGTAGTAACTCTAAGAAGAGAAACTGGTAGAATCTAAGTAGAAAAAAAAAAACGTATTTTACTGAGCAATAAACACCATCAATAAGGAAAAAGTATCATAAACTTTCTTATGCACAAAGAAAAAGTGCCCAGGATAAAACACATATATGTATAAACACGCACATGTACATTATTTCTAGTAGAAATTTCTACCAGAAATCCCAACATGACTATTAAGAGTAGACATAAGAGTAATTCATTTTATTCAAATTAAGAGTGAATAGATCAGTTCAAAAGGTTTTTTTAAAAAATTATTAACTTCTTATACAATCATTTGTCATCAAAAGAAAGTATAATAATTAATAGGAGGTAAATCAAAAGTATTTTTAGTAGGCTCCCAGGCAAAAGAGACCACCAGTATTTTCTAGAGACAATTTAAGGAATGGATTTATATTGCACAGTTCTGCCTACTATAAGGATAATATAAGATCTTGCACCAAATGGATTTACTTTTAGTGTGCAATCATGGAAATTCAAATAGACAAGTGAAAGGTAGTCTAGTTCTTTTAATAGTTTATGATGGGGCATTAGTATTATAGAAAACCAAAAAAATATTAATTTATAATTTCCAAGAAAAAATATTAAACAATGAAATTTTTAATGTTAATTAAATTGGTTGTATGTTTATCTTATCACAAATAATAAGATAAAACTTTACCTCAAATGGATAACTAGAGCCTTCTGGGTAGATTATATATAAACCACTTGGTGTTTTGGTCACAGAGCCAAAGGTATCTTTAATATCAGTGCAATCTAAACCTAGGAAAATAAAATTAGTTATTTAGGATATTTTAAACTGAATGTTTCTGAAAGTCATTTCACTGTAGAGAACTAATACAGCTATCTAAAATTATTACTAAAATTTTCATTAATCATCTGAATGGTTTTAATATCTTAGAAATAAAAAGTGATTTAGAAACGAGGAAGTGATTTGCACTCTATACTGTTTAAATGTTTTATTTGGGATAAACACTTATAAGTATTCCTTCTTTTATAAAATACATAATTACCTTTTCAGGAAACTAGGTTTTTCTTAGAGGGTATAGTGCTCAAAGGAAATTTATATGAAAGGAGAGGATAAAACTCAGAATAAGTGTATTGACTACTATTGATACATCCTTGACTACTTTATTTCAAATTTCAGAGACTCTAATGTGTTGCAGGTCACTATTAACAATAGCCAAAAAAAATGGAAAGGAGAGATCACTTTCTTCACCAAGGAGAACTTAAGCTTGAAGTTAGGACTCATTCTATAGATAGCAGTTAGTGCTGTCATAGCTCATAATCACCTTCTACAAAGCATTCAGTTCCCAGGGGACTGTAAGCATATGAATGTGGAAGTGATATTATACTGTACTACAAGTATTACATTTTACTTGAAGACAATCTATGGTATCTTCTGTAAATGCTCTTACAGCATCAGTTTCTTAGATGCTTGCCTTTGAGTCCTGGTTCTACTCCTTTCTAGCCAAGAACCATTAACTAACCTTTCAAAGTCTTGCTTTCTCTGCTTAATATTGGAATAAAAATAACACTATCTACTTAATAGTGTTATTCTAACAATTTACATAGCAAGGAATTATATAAAGCCCCAAGCACAGGGCCTATCACGTATTAATATATAGAAAATATCTTCAAAAGTTAGCTATAAAAGATGGCCCACTTTGCTCTTCATTTCCAAGAAACAGATTAGTTGCCTATGTTCTAAATTGTTGAGACATTCTTATATTGACTTCATGATAGACGTTCACACTGAAGGACTGATCTAGGCTGGAGTATCTGCTTTGTCTACCATACAAATAAATGTGAACAAATTATTTATATTTTCTGGGCTGTATACTCCTCATATGATGATGATTATACCAAGCTTTTATATCATACTTACTATGCATTGGGCAATATTTTAAGAGTTTTCATGTATATATCCATTTACTCCTCACAACAACTATGTGAAGTAGGTACTATCAGTCTACTGTTGAGGAAACCAATACCAAAAAATGGCAGATCAATGATTTGAGGCCAGACTGACACCAGTATCCATGCTCTTAACTACTGTGTTACACTACCTACAAAGAGGCAGTTATGGAAAATACATTTTGTTTAAAATAATAAAATAACATGAAAGCACCTGTCTTTGTACCTAGAACATAAAGATGCCCGGGCATTGTTTATTTTCTTCCCTTCCTAAGTAATAAATAAATATTGCATACTAAGCCCTTAATGATATTTATTTGCTTGGAACTCTTTGGTATAAATTTATATTTATAAGGTTTATAGAGTTTTTTTCTTAGAAGTCCAAGTCCAGAGAAATCAATGTGCTGTATTTAAGTATGAAAGCGCTTGCTTTCTGTTTATTTCTCTTAAATTTCTTTTTCTTTTCAAATTTCATATCCCAGTTTGAAACATTTCATACATGTCAAAAACATTTTTTACAGGTGGGAGGAATTCTAAAACTTTCTTTTCTTCTGTTTAAAAAGTAATTACTAATAAAATACCAAAGGGAGAAGCCCAGAATAAAGCTACTCTAAAATTATTCTCTTTTCAACAAATTCAGGTTATATTTTTATACTCGTGGATTAGAGAAGTTTTCCAGTTTAGGAAAATACACTTTGTCTATGGTGTAATTTACTTAATGGCAGGTATTAGTCCTCCTGTCTGTTAGAGAATAAGGAGCTGCATTTTTTAAACAAAATTTTTAAATGCACAAGCTGTCCAGGAAATTTTTAAGTAATAAAAGACAAATATGAAAAGGCTGAAATACCAAAGCTCTCACCATGTGACTGAACCGGTCTGTGAGGAAAAGGATCCAGCTGTTTTCTAAAAACTTCTGTAGTCAAAAGGAGAACTCGATTCATGAGTTCATTAACCTAAACACACATATACATACACACACACACAAATATTTAAATAAATTTATGTTTGAACAAAACTCCTTTAGCTAAATTATAGAAAAGTTATCTCTAAACTGCTTATAAACCCAGCTTTGAAATACATAATGAGGCCCCTTTTCCTAGACTGAATTCTTACTGCTTTGCCAAAACAGTAAAGTCATAGTTAAATAACAATCATTAAATTCAGTAGTGTCTGTGTCCCTAACCTTGATTTTCCTGACCCTGGTTTTCATTTGACTGCTTTACCAGATTGTGCCTGAATCTGAATTGTTGCTATTGCTTCCCTTTGCTCTTCAAGTCATCCTCCACACCACCATCAACTGCGTCACCGCATGTCCTTGCTCAAGCAATTCAGTGGCCTCATGGGGTGGCATAATTTAGCTTCTGATTATTCCTTTAGCCTGTTTTTCTTATGTACTCTCCAACCTACCTCATCAGCCACTTCATCCCTGAACTATCTCCAAGAAGCTCCCCCCACAATGGAACATACTCTCCTACTTACTGAACCTTCATGACTTTTAAAAGATGTACTTAACTCTCATGACTCAGCTCACAGGCTTGCTCCTCTGAGAAGTTTTCTTGTATCTCAAATTTCTTTTTTGTGTATTCTAACAGCGGCCACGTTTTTCCAATGAATTTATCTGCCCCACTACACTGTATGCTCCCAGCGTTTTTATTGCTTTCTGTTTACATAAGACTTACTATTTTGCCTCTCACATAGTAGGAACTAAATAGATATCTGAACATAAATGAAGAAAAATAATTATGCCCGCAGTTACCTATGAATCAGTGTGTATGCACACAGAATAACAACATAATACTGAAACATCCATACCTGATTAGATAAATAGTCCAGGGAGGCTTGTTGCTCATCCATTATATTTCTTAATAGTTTTTTCATACTTCGTGTGTAGGAAACAATAGAATTTTGCAGATTTCCTTAACCATAATAAAATGGATGCTAAATATTATGTTATTATAGAAAACTACAGTGAAAAATAATGAGGTTAACATGATTTTGGATAAATATGGAAACAATAATATCTCAATTTATCTGAGCATTCAGAACCATACATTTTTGTTACTTCATATTGTTCATTCATTATTAACCAAAAAAACAATTGTTTCAACATTTCTTAATAAAACTATACTTCCTAATAATGTAGATTACCTGAAATAATTAATCTAATCTTTTCTAATTAAAAGACAACATTCTGAATATTAGCTAATACTTTCTAAAAGAAAGGAAGCAAAAGGTTCAGGATTCTTCAATTCTTACTATGCAAGAAGGTAAAAAAGTAACAATTCACTGGCTTACCAAGCAAGTTGAGTTTAAAGATAAATCTTTGTTTTAATTTTTTATAATGCTATATTTTTTAACTTTTTTTTTTTTGGTTGTTGAGGAGCTTTACTTTTATTTATTTATATGCAGTGCTGAGAATTGAGCCCAGTGTCTCATACATGCTAGGCAAGCGATCTACTACTGAGCCACAACCCCAGCCCTAAAACTGTATTTTCATATAATTAAATTACTAGTATATATGCACATAGGATAGACCTTAGTCAAAGGTTTTGGTCAGTTAGTTTCTGAAGGAACTTTTGCATATATTTTCTTTTTTAAAAACATTTTTAACAGGTCACAGTGGTGCACACCTGTAATTCCAGCATCTTGGGAGGCTGAGACAGGAGAATTAAGAGTTCAAAGCCAACCTCAGCAACTTTGAGGAACTTCTAAGCAACTCAGTGAGACCCTGTATCTAAATAAAATACAAAATAGGGCTGGAGATGTGGCTCAATGGTTAACTACTCCTGAGTTCAATACCTATTAACAACAAAAAAAAACTTTTTTAATAGAAAATATTCTATATTCAATATTTCTTAAAGATAAATTGAAAAAAAATTGCAAGTAGTTTTTTGTCCTAATATATTTGGGATTATGTTTCCATAATGTTCTATCATCTTTAATATTTCCTACACCAAAGACATCCTTAGTAAATATAATCATCAGAATCAAGAAAAATATTTACTATATTTCTCAGACCTTAGTATTACCTATGATACTGATATTGACCTCTATAACAAAAGAACCCTGACATGATTGCATATATTATCCTTTTAAAAATATTTTATTTCTAAGTTTATTTCACCTGAATGATAGAATCACATTAGTAATTTCTGATTATTTTTAATTCTGACTCATCTAGATTTATCTTTTTAATTTTCATTATTATTTTAAAAATTAGAATTATTATTGTTAAAAACTTATTATAAAAAAGTCTATTAGCTTTTTTCTGGATTTAGATATCTATCTTGATGGGACTAAAACTGCATTCATTGGTTTGAGAAGCTTGTAACCCTTATGTTATACACAGAATTATTATACTAAAGTAGAAACTTCATACTTCCTGATGTAGCCATGATGGTCCTATAAGATCTGGATCAGATCATCAGCTCCACCCTTTCCAATCTCCCTTCTTTATCCTGTTTCTTATGAATACATAGTAAATAAAAAAAACCTGTACTGTGACTAACTTTTTAAATTAAGTTAAACTTTTTATTTATTATGCTTTGCTACATAAATCAACTATGATTTGTTTTATACCTTTTGCATTAGTTCTTATAATAGTATTCAATGCTAATGTATTGGGTTTTAGAATTTTCTTCCTCTCAAAAAAAAAAAAAAAGAAAGAAAAAGAAAGAAGAAACTCTAAATCTATGTGAAATTTCCTAGGGATCTAATGAAAGGAAGAAAATATCCCTGGAAAAATTAATATATTCCTATCAGAATCTTCTGGTTTGTCCCTCCCTCTGTGGTCAGTTGATGCCACAAAGCTATATGGTAGAAGAATCCATTCATTTACCAAATATTTATTTTATTAAGTACCTACTACATGTCAAATACATACATATTTACATACCTAGAGTGATGGGGATATATATAAAATGACCCAGATGTCCACCTATAAGTAACAAGTTGTATCCCTTTACAATTGTGGTTATTTTAATACTTACTACACATGAAATGTTTTTCTTCTCGTGTAATTTTAGTTTTAGCATCACATGATTCTTCACAGTCTTCCTTAAAAACAGTATCATTACTTTGAATTTCATCTTTTGCATTAGATACATCTTCTATAACATTAACTACTGGAGAATCCTTTACATTAAAAAATAGAAATAAGGACAAATATTAAATGTTGTATGATATAATAAATAAGAAGCCTTATAGAAAAAAGAAAGCTTGGAATACAGGACGAAGATGATCAGCAGAAAAAAATATAACAAACTGGTTAGTTCAAAGTCCCACAAATAAACCTTATAGGTAAATTTCAGATACAGACAATAAACATATGTTAATTTAATAGTTTCACTGTCCTCTTTTCTTTTTAAATTCTGAAATAATTTATTTAGGGTTTATTTTCATTTCTGACTCTATGGTCTTAACATTTAACTTTTATAAATTTATATGTGTAATACAGAGCTGACCCATCTCTCTTCCAAGAATCTTGCAATTTGAACTTCTTTGAAAAAGGACTAAGAAGTTTCCCTGAGATATCTACAGTATTTCTAGCCAAGTGGACTTTCTGCCACCACTGTTAGAAAATATTAAAAAAAAAATGCGTAGGAAGCTGGAATAAAGTTGTATAAGCTAAAATATCCAAAAATATGAAAGGTTAAGTGTTTATAGATTTGAAAGTTACTAGTGACAAAAGAAAACAGTCTAGACTTTTGATTTGCAAAATCAACATTAAAAGGCCAACTATAGTTGTCATTCCAAAGCTATCTATATTTGTTGGCACCCTATTGCTTTCCTCAATATAAAACATTCTTTGGTAAAAGTCACATAAATTTAATAACTCTGTTGTTAAATGAAAATAATAACAAGTTCTTCCCTGCTTTTGCTGGATATTGAGAGAAAATTACAGGGTTAACCATGTTATAAAAATCTTTGCCCCTCAAAAGATGCTTACATTTTTTTTTACATAGATCTATTTTAAACTTCTTGCTGTTTCTTTTTACCTCTATAATGACTAACATGCTTTCAAAAATCTAGATAATAGCTATCCTTTTTTCAGTATGTTTGTTAATTTGTAGCAAGTATTTTAAAGAATTAAATCAATATTTTTGTAGCATTCTTAGAATTAATTCTTGTTTTAACCATGGAACTTTGGAATTTTGTTTGAGACAATGATAAATACATTTCATGACATTGAAAAATCAAAAACCAACATTTAGCTATGTGGAGGAACTAAAATCCCCTAAGAACTCCTAATATTTTATAAACCATACCAGCTATCACTCTGATATTGTTGTGGGAGAAATTTTTAATGTCCTAAGTAACCATTCACAGCACTATATTTGAACTTCAAAATGATATAAAATTGCTTTTTTAAAAAGCAAAGTCATTTTCAGTTTCCTCTGAGATACTTCATTATCAAAGTTAGTTGGAAAGTTGAGAATTAGTTTTTAAGCTAAGCCCTAGATTTCTTTCAAAAAAAAAAAAAGACTTTATGAGAAAATTGTTAACAGTCAACTCTAAGTTTATAGTTTCTTCAGTTTAAAAACAGTAACCTTTAAGCAATCTCAACATTTCAAAATAACCATTTAAATTAATCTATAAATTACATTTGGTATTATGATTAGTCTTTTCAAACTTATAGTTTATATCTTGAAAGCTAATCATGCTTTCTTAGTTAAAATATTATTGCTAGAATTCTTACCTTAGAATGATGTACACAATTACCTTGTACAGCTTCCCCACAAATAAAAATAAATACATTTAAAAATAAGAATGAAGCTTGTGATGGATACATTATATTTTTCTTGGATAAATGAAAACACTTCTTCAAATATCAGTCAGCTCTCTGTGGAAAGAAATACAGTGCATAGAGTCTTCAGTTAAAAATTTCTGGAAGTTGTACAACAAAAACAGAAGCCAATACTTACTGGTTTCCATGCCCTCGTTTGAAACAACACCCTTCATATGAAAAACAAGGAATCCTGTAGAGATCCTGTCATTTTAAGTTATACAAAACCTTTTTTTATCTTGTCATGCCTGCTTCATAAATCCATGATTTTGCTATCTAGGCAAAAAATACATAGATAAGTAGATATATAAATAGGCACAATATGAATTTATAAATTCAATTAGTTTTAATGAGGCAGATTTTTTTGCCTTTGAAAAATGCCTTTGAAAAGTTATATCTCAAAAACTGTAAAATAGTTTGCACAAAAAAGGGAAGTATAAATGATTAAAAGAGTGGGAAGAATATTACATTAGAACTATTTCCAAGTTATAAGAAAAAACTATTATTAATGATCATAATAACTACATAATTGCCAAATTTCTAGGACTTCAGGTGATTTTTACATCTTTCAGCTTCATTGTTAAAAATTCAAAAATTTGAATGTAACAAATATTGTTATTTAAAATGACCACTCTGGGGGGGCTGGGGTTGTGGCTCAGCGGGTGGAGCGCTCACCTAGCACATTCGAGGTTTTTCCTCAGCACCACATAAAAGTAAACAAATAAAATAAAAATATTGTGTCTAACTACAACTAAAAAAATAATAAATAAAATGACCACTCTGAAAGTCGATAGAGAATGTGTATAATGAGTCTTCAAATTTTCCTTTATAGTGGTTCCTTTTCTTCATCTTAGAATCATATCTAAAACTTCATTATACTAAGTTATGAGGCAAAGTAAAACTTTTTTGAATCTTTTTTTCTGGTTCAAACTACTGTTTTTTCTTTCTCCTTTACTAGCGTAAGAACTGGAAGGCAAGAACCATGTCACAGTTTTTATAGTAGTAATGCAGTGGCTGACACACAATAGGCATGCAAGTTATCTACTCTGAAAAAGAAATCTTAAATTATCTCTTTGTGCCTCTACCTGCTATTTAAACCCAAACTCTTATTTACTGATACTTCTTTCCCAGAGTTTCTCAGGAGAGGCTGTGTGAGGTATGTGGGAGTGCTGTCTACCTGGTTTACATCTTGATTTCTCCTCCCCAATATTGTTAAAGTTCATTTACTCCTTTGTAGAATGGAGATTGTTGTCTGAATTGACTGATTTAATGTATGTAAGCCCTTAACACAATGTGTGGGATACAACAATGGAATGTTGGGTGGTGTCATTTTTCATTTTATCTATGAAACAGCTTCACCAGTTTCATAGATATTTTTCATTTTATCTATATGCAGGGCCAACACTGGTCACAATATTAAAGACCTTTGTCATCCTTTTTTGGAGTAGAAGAGTATATCTCATTAATTATAAATCTTTAGTTGAAGTCTTATGAAATTGAAATGAAGATGACAGGACTTTGACTATCTGAATCAACCAGACATTAAAAATCTTTGTTCTTTCAGTTTTTTATTTCACAGAGATATAAATTCAGGAAATTCTTGTTTGAGCAAGAAAATACTTTTTCAGAAGATGGGAGAAAAAATAGCCTCAGCCAAGATAAAAATGAAAGCACAAAAAAATTGTTCATCACAGGCTGCCACATGACTCGCCAAGTTGTAAGCATTGTTAAATTAAATAAGCAGAAAACCATTGGTGAAGCTGTCTCATATTCAAAGCTCCTTTGTAAAAAACCATAACCTAAGGTAAGAGTGTATATTTGTAACAAATAACCAGTTTTCAGTCCATCACAAACAGTTGAGCTTCAGCCAATCAGAAGAAGCCAACTTAGTAGGCCATGCCCAAATAAGACAAAAGCATAGCTATAGCCAATCAGATATTTCTCTATTTTGCTTCTGTGTTGAGTCTATAAAGGCTTGCAGCTCACACTGCTGAAGAGCTCTTTGAACTCCTTCTGGTTCTGAATCCTGCCTGATTTCATAAATTGCTCTTTGTTTAAACAAACTCTATTAAGTTTAATTCATCTCAAGTTTTTCTATTAACACAGTATTCAAATTAGATGTTATATGAACCTACCTTTTAACTATAAAATGGTTAATTGTTTTGTAAGTAAAATATCTTTTGCAAGCAGAACATTTATGAAACCATGTTAATGAAGTTGGATGTCTAATAGCAATATCTTATTTAACTCATTTGAATCCTCTTTTCCTTCTCCCTACTTATTCCTTCCCATCTTAGTAAATAACAATACTCCTTATACCGTGTTCCAGCCCTAAATCTGAGCATCACAGTTGACTCCTTTTCTTTCTTAGACTTGCTACAACCATCTATCAACACATTTTATTGACCCATGGCTCAAATTTTAAACACTAATTTTTAAACAATTCTATCACACTATAATAGTAGTAGTCTCTATCATCTTTCACCTAATCTGCTCTCTATATAAATATTCTACAGATCCTCAATATTTCTCTTATCTCCTATAGTTTCCCTATAGCAGCTAGCATGACCCTCATTAAAGGTTAAATTAATTCAAAACTCTTCAATGGCTTACCCTCCACTGGAAGTTCGATTTTATCTTAAGTCCTTGCATATAACATAAGTCCCCACTAAATCTGAGCCATATGTTTCTCCAATTTTATGTTTTAGCATTCTTCCCATATCTCATTCTGCCCCAGCCATAGTGGTCTTCTTGATGTTGAACAGACCAACATGATTCTGCCCTCAGAGCCTTTTGTTCTTATAACTCCTTATGACTCTAATATGCTTCATCCAGATAGTTGCATGAAACCTTTCTCCTTCATTCAAACCTCTGCCCTAATTTCCGTTCCTTAGGGGCCTTTCCTGAGAACTCTAGCTAAAATAGAACAGACATTAACCTGTAACACCCACACTACTCTATTTTTTCCTTATAGCACTTTTTACTACCTAATATGTTTATTCTTTTATGGAAGAAAAATAAATGTTTCATGAGAGTAATATTTTTAAGCTTTATTCACCACTATATTACTAGTACCTAGAAAGTGTTTGGCATGCTTGGCATAGAGTGCTCAACATATATTTCCTTAATAAAATAATTTATTCTTTAAAATTATTATTAATAATTATCTTAAAATTATTTTATGGTTTTGAAGTGTGAAAGAATTAACCATTAGATGGCTGGGGATGTAGGTCAGTGAGTGTGCACTTACCTACATGCTGAAGAACCTGGATTGATACCCAGCATTGCAAAAAAAAATGAATAAACATTATATTTAATTCAGATGTTTTCTTTGATAAAATATAGGGATTTTAGTCTATTATTATTGCTTACATCATATTTTCCTTTCCTGCTCAAAGATATCTTCTATAAAATCTAACTATAAAAACTTTTTTAAAGAATCTAGCACTATACAACTTAAATGCAATGTGGAAAACCTGAACAATATTTTGAAGAAAGAATTTTTAAAATAAAAATATCTATGATTTTTAAGAATTGATAACCTTAAGTTTCTTCTTGGTTTTTATTGTAAAGTAATGCTTAAATGAAGACTGATTACATAAGCATTTGTAGCCAAATGAGAAACAAAATCATGCTTCTTAATAAATATGCCATACAACAAAGCAATAACATGGCTAGGTGTTACTTGTTACCACACTGATAATTTATCAAAAGCTAAACTTTCAGGGAAACCCCAAAGAGCAACCACAATCATCTCACTTTTATTTGCCCTTTGCACTGCCCTACTTTGCTTAGCCTCAAATCATGCCTGGAGAGACAAGAGTTGTAATGACAGCAATGAGAATAGAATCAAGGACAATACCTGTGGCTAGGTCAATTAAAAACTTACCAAGGTAGCTAATTGACAAAGTATACACATTTAGTTTTTGCTGTTAGGATTATATATTTTATTTTCTTGGTAGTGTCCTGAACCAGACATAAGACATTTTGTATTTAAAATCAAAACTGGATTTGTGTTGAGTATGTCCCCAGCACATATTCCTATTTGAGTCATTACATTCAAGTTTGCAAAAGGTCTGTTTTAAATAGTTTCAGGGAAAAATTTATTATTTGAACTTTAAAACTGAACAAATTGATTCACAAAGGCAAAGAGATTTGAACGATAAGTGAGTCATATTTATTTGGTTTGTACATTATGCTTCCACGATGGGTGTTTTTACACACACACACACACACACACACACACAATGTACCCAGGCTAACATATAAATTTAATATGTTTTTATGTTGAGCTCCAACAAAAACTTTCATCCTTTTCCAAATTTTCGCTTGCAAGTGGCTCAAAACTCCATTTTCTATACCCCCTGAAACAATTTCAATGCAATGATCCCTTTTGGCATCGATTTCCAGGAGATTACTACTAGGTTAAAGCTGGACTTTTTTTTAGCTGCTTTTGCTGTGATGGTCCATTTCCAACATCGAGCAGCAAGGAGCTTTTGAAATGTAAACTTCATAAATAGGGAGGGAGAGAGGGAGAGAGGGAGAGAGGGAGAGAGGGAGAGAGGGAGAGAGGGAGAGAGGGAGAGGGAGAGAGGGAGAGAGGGAGAGAGGAAGTATCATAAAGTGGTGAGAGAATGTAGGGAAGGAAAATTCCCACTTCACAAAGCTTTTCAAAAGACATGGTGTTTGAGGATAGAGACTCCCCCAGTTGAACCTCACTTCTCAAACCCTCCACAATGTGATTCTCTAATTAAACAACAAACCAAACCCCAAATTGTCCCCGAAATAATCATTCCAGATCCGCCTGTGGCATCTGCCTGTATCTGGGGATTTTCCATCTCACTGTTCTTCGTCATTCTCAATTCCCGCCAGGGAAGCACCCTCAAGGGAGGGAGAACCGAATCTGGCTCTAACGTACAGGTCAACTGTCCTCTTCTGCAACCACGCGGAGCCTGAGGTTTCGGGACAGGAACTGGGTGGAGCTCAGGGTAGGGACCCTGGGTAGGGTGACTACCCCGGAGCCTGCTCTCAGCTCCGAGAGGAGGGGCCGCCCGGGCCTCTGATTGGCTGCCTCAGGCGCACCGCCCCTCCACGCCCTCCTCCCTGGTTTCCGTCGCGAAGGACGCGGCGTCCGTTGGTTGTCAAGATGGCAACGGCGGGGTCTCTGCCGCCACCTCTGCTATTGCCAAGCAAGGACGCCGCCGTCGCAGCTGCAGTTGCCACCACAGTCACCAACGCCGCTGCGCGGGAGCCAGGGCTGCCGCGACCAACCCTCCAGCGCCCGTGACGCGGGGCCTGAGAGACTGATTGTAGGGAGGGGCCGAAGAGAAGAGCAGGAAGCCGGAGCCGCCATGAGGGAGCCACTGGGGGTGAGCCGGGAGGCGGCGCTGAGGTGAAGGATGCTGACCCGGAGGCCTGGAGGCCAGAGCGCGGTCCCTGGTCTGGGCACTGAATCCTCGGACTCGCCGGGCAGAGCACCTGTCAGCCCTCGGGAGAGGGGCGGGCACCATCGACTTGGCGCTTACCTGTATCCTTCCCAGCCTGTGGCTGTCCGGGTAGCGGTGTTCGAAGTGGGGCCCGTCTTTTATCCATTAGATTCCCATTACTTCTGACGCAAGGTGATTCAAACTAGCAAGTCATCTTAGTGGAGATATTTGCTTAGCAACTGTCATTTTCCCCCTCTGAACCTAAGATTATGTCATTTATCCTATTCTATAGGCGCTTTCCTTGCCACTGTTTCCCCCACGACCACCCCCATTCTTCAACTTCTTTTCAAATTTTTGTGAATATTTTTTTTAAAAATACATCAACAGTGTAGTCTGTGGGAATAATTTTTTGCCCTCTAGAATTATGCCAGGATGTTCTTACTTATTAACCACTTCCTGATTAATAATACTACTTGGAGAGATTACACAAATAAGTAAAATGCCTTCCTATCCTGAGGAGGCCGTTTTAGCTGTCAATCTAGCACACCCCTAATCTATTTGCCAGAGCTACTAGACCCTATGACAGTTTGGTCATTTGTTTTCCCTCTTAGCCCAGTCGGTTGTCAGAGAGATGGCAAAGAGGAAATGAGAAGCAAAATTCCTGGACCTTCACAATCTGGACCATTTCAGATTTTCTCGTAAGAATTGGCCCACTTTCGATGTTGCAATTAGATACATTGTAGAAAATTGAAGAAGTGAGTTTGCTTTTCAAAATTATAAACCATGATTATTCCTTCAGAGAATATGATATTTGGAATTTAACCTTTATGTTCTCAAAGGACTTTGGTTGGCAGTGATGGTGCTATGTAATGATCATCTTCATTCTTAGGGAATGGAGTGGCTTCTCTTTCCAAGTTAACCCCTAAGGCTCCCCACTCCCATTTTCTTATACCTGTTTTCTTCCTCTCTTGTCTCCAATTTCTTCCAGGACATTTTTAATATTCCATTACAGCTTTATGTAATGGAATATAAAAAGCAAGTTACAAAACAATTTTTTGTAAGAGTCTGCTTTGTGGCCCACTTTGTTCTAGATTACAGAGATCCAAATCTATGCAGAAAGACTGGTATGTACAAAACTTCACTAATGGTAAAATATCTCCTCTCTGATCATGCTTTCATCAAACTTCCATCCATTCTCCCTTTTCTTTTCTTTTTTAGTTTATTTTTTAGTTGTAGTTGGACACATCATCTTTATTTTATTTATTTGTTTTTATGTGGTGCTAAGGATCGAACCCAGGGCCTCACACATGGTAGGTGAGCGCTCTACTGCTGAGCCACAATCCCAGCTTTTCCTTTTCTTTCTTTAGCCAAGTTCTCAAAACACTAGTCTGCAATAGCAGCTTCTAGCTCCTTTAATTTATTCATTATTAATCTCATTGAGTTTGTCTTTTGCCCTTGCTGCTCTAAATTTTCTCAAAAATATAATCTGAAATAAACAGCATTGTCATCTATATGAATACAATTCTTCCTTCTTCAAACTTATTTTCTTGAGCACTGAACACCTATTATACTGTGCCTAATATATTTTTAAATCAAAATATAGGGAAGCATTGTAAATGGCTGGTATACATAATATATGTTTCTATATATAAAACATATTGAGATGGAGGGAATTTGGACATAATAAAGATTGTAACACTAAATCAAGACTTTTTTCATAGAGATACACTAATGCATCTTTTTTATAGTTTATTATTTTGGATGTTTTCTGTGTCTATAATGTTTCCCATTCGATTCTAATATACAGTAGTAGGGGCTCAAATTTATTAAATTAATGACTAAATGAAAAGAAAAACAAAAAAGAATCATAATCTTAAAATAAGCAAGTGTAATGGTAAAACTTTTAGGAGTTATTTCAAATATAAAAGCAATACTCAGAGGCCTTCCGGCTTTCTGTTGAAGATGTTCTAACTGAGTCAGAATTTCCTCTAAAGATTATAAAAGAATAAACCTTATATGATCAAAATTAGCTAAGTTTCTATCATTTGAATCTCTTACAAGAATTCAAATAAAAATAGAACAAAATTTGTTAAGAAAAAGAAAAAAGACAACAATAATGAAAAAGTTCACCATTCATACTATGCCTCTTTTTTTTTTTACATTTGAATCAGAAGGGATATAATTTCTCATTTTCCTGAGTGTACAGGTTGCAGAATTACATTGGTCATGCAGTCACATATACACCCAAGCAATAATAATGTCTATTTTATTCTGCTGTCCTTTCATTCCCCCCTTCCCCTACATCCCCTCCCATCACTTCTCTCTACCCAATCTAATGTGACCCACTTCTTTTTTTTTCCCTCACATCATCATACCTGTATTACCTCCAGTCCTTAACCTTCTATTTTATCCTAACACCCACATCTGTCTTACTCAGTTTATACCGTATTCTTGATCATTTATGCATATTCTCTCACCAACATTCTTTGTTCTTTGCACCCCTGTCCTGCTTCAGTCACCCAGAAACTACTATAGTCCTGTTTTTCTACGCCTTCATGTGTATAATAAAAATATTGTCAAGAGAAAAGTCTTAAGACAACACAGATTGGCACCATGAAAGATTAATGGTTTCCAGATTTACCTGGATAGGAACAGTTCTTTTTCCTTTTAATGCCTGCGCCACATCTCTATCACCTCCCACTACTCTTATAGTGACTACCATAGAACATAGGTTCCATGAACTGCCTCAGATTTCCTCCCAACAAATAACACAAACCCACACACTCCTACCCACCTGTCTTTTATTTCCATTAAATTGTTTTATTTCTAACCTCCTTATTTTCCTCAATTAGCCCTGAATTACAAATTATCCTCTTTGTAATCTTATAATTAATTTTCAATTTCTCTTAATGATCTTCTTTCCCTGCAGCCTAAAAACGTGCAGGTTTTGACTATCCTTAAAATCAGGGAAATGAACAATCAGACCTTTCATCACAACATACCTTTTGGCTATGTTCTAGTAATGCTTGTTCTTATTAAACCTCTAAAAATGAATACTCCATGTCTAGTATCTCTACCCTGAGTCATATTTTATTCTTCATTCCAAAATAAACTCAAGCTGCTAAAAAGGATAAATGTAAAATTATAAAAGAAAATATTTTTATTGTTTGAAGTTATAGTAGTTTTATCTTTGTAAGGGAAAGAATAAATTTCAAAAGAAAAATATCTTAGAGCTAATGTTAATTTAAAACTTTAGGGAGAAATTGTATAATAAAACTTGAAATATCTGAGAAAATGCTAGCACTGCCTATGATAGAGGATTAATATCTATACTCTTCCAGTTGAACTTATCAAAACTGATTTTTAAAAATCAGTTTCTCAGATAAAGGACCAAAGACTCTGAACTAATGGTCTTCCAAAGATGAAAATTTAAATTTTAATCAAAATAGAAAGTATTCTATTTTGCTAGTGCAGACATAATAAAACTTAATTTGGCACCTTACCTTTCAAAAAAAAAAAAGTCCTACGCTATGCTTATGAAGTATATTTCTAGGAGCATATAAATCTGTATGACTCCATGAGAAGCCAATTTTTCATTAATGAGTTAAAAGCTATAAAAATAATTAGACCTTTTTTTCCTGTTATATTGACCTCAGAGAATTTTCTTCAAGGAAATACTCTAGTTATCTTTTATTAAGCCATTACTATATTTTAAGAACCATGCTAAGCATTTGGGTTATAGAAATGTACAGGAGACACGTGTGAAGTACTTACAAAGTTGTTATCAGGTTATCTGGTGGGAATAAGACAAGGCTTCACAAAAAGGAACTGCTTGAAGTGTCCCTTAAATGTTGAGTAGAGTTAGACAAGTCTGTACCAAGATAGTAGTATGACTCATCATGGCTGTTCTCTTAATTACCTTAGTGTGGCTGAGCATAAGGTTCATATAGAGAAATGTTGAGAAATTAAGTTGAAAAAAAAAAAAAACAGACCAGATTACAGAGTCCAAGAATTTGAGATTTATCATGAAGATGATAAGGAGATTTGGGAGAACAACAAAGAGTAAGAAAATAATATTTGCATTTAGCTGGCTTCATGAAGTCTCAAATGGAGGATGTTCAGTTTAAGAGTAAAATGATTTAAAAGAATATTGAGGAAGTCCAAGCAAGGGATTTAGAGAGACTGAGCAAGGCCAGTGGAAAGGAGAAATAGAATCAAGATAGCTTTAATAAATTTGACAAGAAAATACGTTGTATGATGAACAGTTATTTGTGATGCTAACATTTTAAACTAATTGGAGAAAAACTAAATTGGAACATGGATGGATACTCATAGTAGTCTTCATTTGGTTTTGTTTTATACTTCTAATGTTAAGTATATAAAAATTGTTGTCATTTAGGTAGATGTTTAGTAATGTTTTTATGGAAACTACCCTTATGATACAACTTATTAAAAAAATAAAAATTCAACTTTTTTTAACTCTTGAATACCATATTTTAAAAGATACAAAGGCAGCACATTCTTTATAATTCACCAGACAATAATTACATTATACTGTACTATGTACTATACACACACACACACACATACACAAACACTATATGTAGTAGAGTTACTTGATTACATTTAAGAATATATAGTTGCAGGTCCATTACAAACATTGCATTTTGTGATTGTTATGTGCTCTTATGAGATCTTAAACATTGAACAGAATTGTCTTTACCACCGGTAGCATAGACACCCCTGCTTCTCACCTGACCCAAAGCAACTTCTCCCTGCCACCCATACCATGATCCTCCTGTGTACCCTGAAAAAAGAAAATTGAATTTTCCTCTACTAATGAATTGTGATTTTTAGTAGCTAACCATCTTGTTGAGCTTTGCCTCCTAATAAAGTATTCTGTTAGAGAAGGACAAGATATATCTATAGCATATATTTGTGCTAGCAAAGAACCAGATAACCATATTTCCTTCAATTTTTGTCTCATTGTTATAAATCGTTCAAAAGAAATCTTTAAGTAAAAATATCGTGTATGAATGTATTTGGGGTATTTGTGTTGAAGTAGTGCAAAATTGTATAAAAATGAAGATTAAAAATTATTATGGCCTATGGTAGATGATTAAGTAACAACATAATTAAAAACAAACAAGCTTCCACTTAGCACAAGATCAAACAACCAAAAAACTCTAATAAATATGATTATTTTAAAATTTGTAATAGTTTCTTTATAATATTGATGTGAAGCAGTATAGGATACTGAAATTAACATATTTTAAATTAACAAGTCATGTACAGCATAATTTATTGTTGAGCATATTTCTTGTATTCTATATTACCATCAATAGACAGTTTATAGTACCTTGATTAAACGGATCTCTTAAAGAGAATTTTGAACTTCAATTTTTTGGGAAAAATATTCTAAACAGTTATTTATTCTAAAGGAAAGAAAGAAAGAAAAAAGACAAGTAGACATGCCCTGCAATCTAGAACTTCAATGTAATTTCACAAACATCTATATCTAATGATGCACTGAATGGTTGAGGATAATTCAATTACCTTTTTTTTTTATAAATATTGTGACATTTGATTAAGATACTTCATAATGACAGTCAAAATGCAATTAGGAAACCAATTAACCACATCAATACAACTTATGTAAAGAAAGTTTAATACATATATTTCAAATGAATGAATGATTAAGATAACCAACTTCCATTTCTTGTCTAGAAAATTTCCGGATAAACAGATGGTTATGCATGTCATCTTGGTGGTTTTTTTCATAATCTAAAAGTAAATCATTAAGGTAAATAACTATATTCCCTAACATTCCAAGAATATTAATATTTTATTCTCTAATGTTTGAATATTACTTTCATACTACAGATTAAAGAATCTATTAAAGCTTTTAATTCATCTACTTTCTATTAGTGAAATCAACCTTCTTTCATTTTTCTTATATACATGCCTAAGAAGACAACTTGTTAGTAAGTACTCAAGTATCTGTGTAATAAATGAAAATATACAGTCCCCTTAACTGAGCTCATGAATTCAAAAAGTGATTTATTTCCCCCTAAAGTAAGTGAAGTATATCTTAAATTCTAAACCAAGTCAGAATTTTTACATAAAATATATTGGGATCATATACTAACACTAATGTGTACACATACTAATTGTTCCCCCAAAACATCACTACATCATAAGCATGAAGCTATAAATATATTTATCATATTCCTGATACTGCTCCTCCAAAGACAAATTGTTGTTCTTAACTTAAGTCTGTCATTAGAGATATGAAAATCCACCTAGAGAAAAATTTAGAAGAAGAGCGCCAAATATTACTGCAGCAACAAAAAATATGTAGAAATCGAGCACGTAAATATTTTTTGGAGTCAAACCGGAGAAAAAAGTAAGTAACTTGAAGAAATTCAAGGTCAATATCAATTAATAGTAGGGACAAAGTCATGACAGTGCTTTATCTGTAAAATGCTGATCGAAATTTTTGTGACTTTGTAAATTTTATTATTGTTTTCCACCTAAATACAAATATAATAATATATTGCCTAGTGCACTGACTTGTGACTTTTTTTTACAATCTTTTTTTGTGATAGAACAGTTTATTACAGTGTCCTGTACACTTCTTAAAATAACTATAAAATGGTGCTGGGGATGTAGCCCAAGCGGAGCACACTCGCCTGGCATGCGTGCGGCCCGGGTTCGATCCTCAGCACCACATACAAACAAAGATGTTGTGTCCACCGAAAACTAAAAAATAAATATTAAAAAGATTTTTTCTCTCTCTCTCTAAAAAAAAATATATATATATATCTTTTTTATTTTTTGTATCATTTCATGATGAATTAAAAGATTAGTGATTATAGCTGGGCAAAGTAGCAAATACCTGTAGTCCTAGCTACTCCAGAGGATGAGGCAGGCGGATCACAAGTTCAAGACCAGCCTGGGCAATTTATGCAGACTTCATCTCAAAAATAAAATAAACAAAAGTCTGGGGATATAACTGTGGTAGAGTGCTTGCCTAGTATGAAGAGGCCCTGGTCTATCCCAAGAGAAAAGAAAAGAAAAGGAAAAGGAAAAGGAAAGGAAAGGAAAGGAGGAAGGAGGAAGGGAAGGGAAGGAAAGGAAAGGAGGGAGGAAGGGAAGGGAAGGGAAGGGAAGGGAAGGAAAGGAGGGAGGAAGGGAAGGGAAGGAAAGGAAAGGAGGGAGGAAGGGAAGGGAAGGGAAGGGAAGGGAAGGAAGGGAAGGGAAGGGAAGGGAAGGGAAAGGAAAGGAAGGGAAAGGAAGGGAAGGGAAGGGAAAGGAGGGAGGAAGGGAAGGAAAGGAAAGGAAAGGAAAGGAGGGAGGAAGGGAAGGAAGGAGGGAGAAAGGAAGGGAGGAAGAGAGAGAGAGAGAAAGAAAGGAAAGAAGGGAGAGAGGGAGGGAGGGAAAGAAGGAAGAAAGAAAAGCAGAAGATCTGCAATTATTACTTAGTTTCTAATAGAATCTAATTTGATTTTACTCATTATTCACTTCATATAGTTTTCCTGTATGTGCTCCCCTTATTCATTCTTTTGTAAAAATGGCAAATGTGAATATTGGTAAATAGATGTGATAGATTTTTGTAATGACTGCCAAAAAAAAAAAAAAAAAAAAAAAAAAGCTTTCTCATGGAACTAAATCTTTCTCATGAAAATTAAAATAAAGTGATAATGTGGACTACTCAAACATTGCTTAACATTTTAAGGATTTTTGTAATTATTAGATTTTTTTAAAAGATAGATGGGCCATTATTTATTGTTGTTTTTGCTGCTTTATTCATTTTCCTATAATACATGAAGAGCAGAAAATCCCTAGAGTTTATTAGCTACATCATTGGGCATACGCTGCAAATCCCAGTTGGGGAATACAAAATTGTTTACCTGTAATTTTTTTCTGACATTCTATTTCTCTTTAGATTAACTCTTCCTTGGTCCAACACTGTTGAAATGATTCAATGAAGCTTCTTGTTTTTGTTTTATATGCATGTGTTTCTTTTTATCTCCTGTCTTTTGGTTCTTAGAGCCTGTAAAAGGCACATGACAGGTGTTCAATAAAGATGGTTATACATAGTCATCTAAATTCATGCTGTCCACTCACACAGTATCGTTATATAACTTTTTTTTAAGTATTTTTTCCTTCAGGCAGGGGTACTCTCCATCTGCTACTTTGCCAGTGTTGTGTCCCCACCAGTAGTCCAAGTAAAACATCCTAGCATCAAATGCTCTTTATTTCCATTGGTTAATTAAAATCATGTTTATTTTCTTCTTATTTACTATTTTCTTGCCCTTCTGTTAGCCAATAGTTTTCTTTTTTTTATTTATTTTTTTATTGGTTGTTCAAAACATTACAAAGCTCATGATATATCATCTTTCATACATTTGACTCAATTGGGTTATGAACTCCCATTTTTACCCCAAATACGAATTGCAGAATCACATCGGTTACACACTCACATTTTTACATAATGGCATATTAGTGACTGTTGTTTTCTGCTACTTTTCCTATCCCCTACTATCCACCCTCCCCTCCCCTCCCATCTTCCTTCTCTACCTCATCTGCTGTTGTTCAATTCTCTCCCTTGTTCCCCCCCCTTTCCCCTCACATCCTCTTATATGTAATTTTGTGTAGCATTGAGGGTCTCCTACCATTTCCATATGCTTTCCCTTCTCTCTCCCTTTCTCTCCCCCCACTCGTCTTTGTTTAATGTTAATCTTTTCCTCATGCTCTTCCTCCCTGTTCTGTTCTTAGTTGCTCTCTTTATATCAAAGAAGACATTTGGCATTTGTCTTTTAAGGATTGGCTAGCTTCGCTTAGCATAATCTGCTCTAATGCCATCCATTTCCCTGCAAATTCTATGATTTTGTCATTTTTTAGTGCTGCGTAATACTCCATTGTGTATAGATGCCACATTTTTTTTATCCATTCATCTATTGAAGGGCATCTAGGTTGGTTCCACAGTCTAGCTATTGTGAATTGTGCCGCTATGATCATTGATGTGGCAGTATCCCTATAGTGAGCTCTTTAAGATCCTCAGGGAATAGCCCGAGAAGGGCAATAGCTGGGACAAATGGTGGATCCATTCCCAGCTTTCCCAGGAATCTCCATACTGCTTTCCAAATTGGCCTCACCAATTTGCAGTCCCACCAGCAGTGTACAAGTGTACCCTTTTCCCCACATCCTCGCCAACACTTATTGTTGTTTGACTTCATAACGGCTGCCAATCTTACTGGAGTGAGATGGTATCTTAGCGTGGTTTTGATTTGCATTTCTCTGACTGCTAGAGATGGTGAGCATTTTTTCATGTACTTGTTGATTGATTGTATGTCCTCCTCTGTGAAGTGTCTGTTCAGGTCCTTGGCCCATTTCTTGATTGGGTTATTTGTTATCTTATTGTTTAATTTTTTGAGTTCTTTGTATACTCTGGATATTAGGGCTCTATCTGAAGTGTGAGGGGTAAAAATTTGTTCCCAGGATGTAGGCTCTCTATTTACCTCTCTTATTGTTTCTCTTGCTGAGAAAAAAACTTTTTAGTTTAAGTAAGTCCCATTTGTTTATTCTTGTTATTACCTCTTGGGCTATGGGTGTCCTATTAAGGAATTTGGAGCCCGACCCCACAGTATGTACCCAACTTTTTCTTCTATCAGACGCAGTGTCTCTGATTTGATATCTAGCTCCTTGATCCATTTTGAGTTAACTTTTGTGCATGGTGAGAGAAAGTGATTCAGTTTCATTTTGTTGCATATGGATTTCCAGTTTTCCCAGCACCATTTGTTGAAGATGCTATCCTTCCTCCATTGCATGTTTTTGGCCCCTTTATCAAATATAAGAAAGTTGTAATTTTGTGGATTGGTTTCTGTGTCCTCTATTCTGTACCATTGGTCCAACTGCCTGTTTTGGTACCAGTACCATGCTGTTTTTGTTACTATTGCTTTGTAGTACAGTTTGAACTCTGGTATCACTATACCTCCAGATTCACACTTCCTGCTTAGAATTGCCTTTGCTATTCTGGGTCTTTTGTTTTTCCATATGAATTTCATGATTGCTTTATCTATTTCTACAAGAAATGCCGTTGGGAGTTTGATTGGCATCACATTAAACCTGTAGAGAACTTTGGGTAATATTGCCATTTTGATGATGTTAGTTCTGCCTATCCATGAACAGGGTACATTTTTCCATCTTCTAAGATCTTCTTCTATCTCTCTCTTTAGGGTTCTATAGTTTTCATTATATAAATCTTTCACCTCTTTTGTTAGGTTGATTCCCAAGTATCTTATTTTCTTTGAGGATATTGTGAATGGAGTGGTTTTCCTCATTTCCATTTCAGAAGTTTTGTTGCTGATATACAGGAATGCCTTTGATTTATGCGTGTTGATTTTATATCCTGCCACTTTGCTGAATTCATTTATTAACTCTAGCAGTTTCTTTGTAGACCCTTTTGGGTCTGTTAAATATATGATCATGTCACCCGCAAATAGCAATAATTTAAGTTCTTCTTTTCCTATTTTTGTGCCTTTAATTTCTTTTGTCTGTCTAATTGCTCTGGCTAGTATTTCAAGAACTAAATTGAATAGAAGTGGTGAGAGAGGGCATCCCTGTCTTATTCCAGATTTTAGAGGGAATGCCTTCAGTTTTTCTCCATTTAAGATGATGCTAGCCTGAGGTTTAGCATATATAGCTTTTACAATGTTGAGGTAAGTTCCTGTTATCCCTAATTTTTCTAGTGTTTTGAACATAAAGGGATGCTGTACTTTGTCAAATGCTTTTTCTGCATCTATCGAGATGATCATATGGTTCTTGTCTTTAAGTCTATTGATGTGGTGAATAGCATTTATTGATTTCCGTATATTGAACCAGACTTGCATCCCAGGGATGAAGCCTACTTGATCATGGTGCACAATTTTTTTGATATGCTTTTGTATTTGATTTTCCAGGATTTTATTGAGAATTTTTGCATCCAAGTTCATTAGAGATATTGGTCTGTAGTTTTCTTTCTTTGAAGTGTCTTTGTCTGGTTTCGGGATCAGGGCGATGTTGGCCTCGTAGAATGAATTTGGAAGAGCTCCTTCTTTTTCTATTTCTTGAAATAGCTTGAAAAGTATTGGTGTTAATTCTTCTTTGAAGGTTTTGTAGAACTCCGCTGTATACCCATCCGGTCCAGGGCTTTTTTTGGTTGGTAGTCTTTTGATGGCTTCTTCTATTTCTTCCTTTGTTATTGGTCTGTTTAAATTGTGTGTGTTTTCCTGACTCAGTCTGGGCAGATCGTATGACTTAAGAAATTTATCGATATCTTCACTATCTTCTCTTTTATTGGAATATAGGGTTTCAAAATACTTTCTAATTATCTTCTGTATTTCTGTAGTGTCTGATGTGATA